GGTGGAGGCCCCATCCCTGGGACCATTCCAGGCCAGGTTGGCCGGGGCTGTGAGCAACCTGATGTGGTTCAAGGTGTCCCTGCTCCTGCAGGGGGGTTGGGCTGGGTGGGCTCTAGGGGTCCCTTCCAACCCAAAACATTCTATGATTCTATGAAAACACACTGCCTGCTCCTCCCTGCCCGTTCTGCAGGCTCAGAGCTGCAGGACTGGGTGCTGGGGACATCGCTGGAGCAGCAGTGCCGCGTACTGAGCGCTGTCCGGGAGGAAGGAACATGGGACGGCACGGAGGGATGGACAGGGCAGCCTGGCCTGTGCCCGTTTCGTCCCTGCTCCCCCGCCGGGATCCAAGCTCTGCCCTGTGCCGTGGGAAGCGCCGGGGGGAAGAGCCCTGGCCCCGCCGTGCTGAGCACGCCATGACCACCCCATCAGCCTGCTCTCTGCTCTTCCGCAGTTGCTGAAGATCGCCTTCGATGAGGAGGTGGCTTCGGACAGTGCTGAGGTCTTCAGGAAGCACCTGCACAAGCTGCGCTACCCTCAGCACGTGCGCGGCACCTTCGCCTTCACCGTGGGCCAGTCACCCAAGCAAGCCATGCAGCCCAAGGCCAAGGAGAAGAACCCCTCGCTCAGGTACCCGTGCCATGGGGAGGACAGCACGTGGGGCGCGCTCGACCCTTTTGGGCACCGCAGGGCTTCTCCTCTCCCTCCTCCAGCCCACCCAGCAGATTGCCGCTGAGCAGGGCTCGCTCCCGAGAAGCCGGGGCGCAGGCTCCCGAGCTGGAGGTCGGGGTCCCTGCACCAACCCTGCTCAGACCTCTCCTTGCCCGGGATCTCCGCTCGTCCGTGGGAGGGGACGCGCTGCGCGTCCGGCAGCAGTCTCCTCGCCCCACGCGGAGGACTGGCCACGCTCGGCAAGCGGGGTGTTGGCTTCGGTGGTGCTCCCTGCCCCGTGGCCCGGGCGAAACCCGTGCGAGCCCCGAGGAGGCGTCTCAGGGGAGAGGTTCCAGTGGGCACGAGAGAGCAGTCTCTGCCGTGCCGGAGGACGGGGAGCGCGGCGGGGCAGCGGCGAAGCTCTCTGCGTGGTGCTGACCTGCGGCCAGGCCCTGCTCCTGCGCTCGGTGGCTAGGTTAAGCAGTGCTGTGTCGCCGGGGTCTGGTTGCTGCTGCGTTCGTGCTTGGTGTGCCCTGGAGTCTAAGCCTCTCTCCCGTGTGTTTGTGACTCAGCTCCCAGCAGGTGACCGATATGTTCCAGGGCCTGACAGTGGGGGTCATGTCCCTTGGGCACCTTGGCCATTCAACCACGTAAGATGCCTTCACCCTGGGCGGGAGCTTGCGAGGTGGCATTGGCTCAGGCTGCAGCCTTCACTGCTCCCAGGGTTTCTTCTCACCTGCTCTGCATGCGGCCTGGGCTGTGGGCTTGTCACTTGGGGAATGCCCTCTTCAGGCTGCCGGTCTGACGGTCAGGTTTGGGGTGCTCTCACCGTTGCAGCGCCGTAGCCTCCAGCAGCTGTCGGTCGGGTGCCCTGGGGCTCCGTGGCGCCCTGGTGGATCCCAGGACGTGCTGAGGGAGCTGTGCCTGTACCCACCAACCTCCAGAGACCTCGAGAGCTGCCGGGCCCGGCGCCGTGCCTGGGCACAGGCGCTGTAGTCTGAACGTGCGAGAAGTGCCTTGTCACCTTGTCACCCCCCCACAAGCCTGCTTCCAGTGCTCCACTCTCTGCAAGTCTTACTCCTCCCGTTAGAATCACAGAATCGTTTGGGTTGGAAAGGACCTTTCAGATCATGAAGTCCAACCGTTCCCCTAACCCTGCCATCCCACCACTAAACCGTTAGAAAGCCCTCCCGCTCCTCGCCTCCGATCCTGAGCATTCGTTCTCAGGACAGCCTTCTGCCGCGCTCCTAAGGCTTCCCCTCCCTCGGAGAGCGCAGGGAGCCGTTGGGTTGCCTCACCGCCTGCTTGGCAAAGCAGACCAGGGCACCTCCCAGTCGCACTTTGGCCCCCGTCTTGAGAGGGTGAACTTCTAGAAATCTGGGCATCAGCGTAGCCGTTACCCTGGCCTGGATCTGGCCCCTTCCCTGCGCATCCCACATCTCCTTTACGTGTTCCCTTTGGGCCCAGGGGCTCACCAAGGCGGTGCTGGGTGCGAGGTCCTGCCTGTGGGCAGGCCATTCCCGCCTTCAGGAATTCCTGCCTTCCGGAGCTCTGTCATGCGGAGCCTGTTCTGACCACGCAGCCCCGTCACCCTAAGGTCCCCCTTCTGACCACGCAGCCTCATCACCCACAGGTTTTGGAAGGTCTCCCTCCCCTGCTTTCCCCAGGCCACCCTCAGGAGCGGCCAAGCCCAGCTCTCCCTGTCCCACATGTGACATTGAGCAGGTCCCCTTCTGCCAAGCTGCCGCCCTCCGCCCAGGGAGGAGCAGCCCTGTGTCCAGGCTGGGCTGGCAACGTCCCCACGGTGGATCTCTGGCCCCTGCCCTGAGCTGGAGCCCACCTCCTCCGGAGACAAGCCAGATTGCTGCCTGTGGGAGCCCCGATGGGGAGGTGATGGTGTTAGAGCCCGAGACAAGGCTGGTGTCCCCTCGGGTGGTTCAGCTCAGCCTGGCTGCCCGGCCCAGCCTCCCCAGGCATCCCCCAAGGGAAGGGAAGCGCCGTAGGCTCTGCCTCTGGCTTGGTGCTCTCCTGCAGCTGAGTCGGTTCCTCCCTGCCAGGGAGCTGGCAGGTGACATCTCCCCTCCTGCGGTGACAGTGACTTCGACCCCAGGCCTGTAGCTGGTGGTGAGGGATGCTCCCGTCTCTGCTTTGCTCTCGGTGTGACTGAGTGTCGGTGTCTCTAACCCTCCAGGGGCTGCTCTTCTGGCCGCGCTGGGCTGTGGTCGCGCTCGGGCGGGAGGTGGCATCAGCTGCCCTCAACCTCTTCTCTGGTTCCAGGACGCTCTCCAAAAACCTGGTGAAAAATGCCAAGAAAACGATGGGCCGCCAGCACATGACGCGGAAGAAATACACACCGCCCACGTGGGAGCAGCGGAGCAGCCAGCACTTCCCGGAAGACAACGAGGATGAGATCTCAGGTTGGGAGCGCCCGGGGCAGGGAAGGGAGGCTGTGGGGAGCGGGGCGTTTGCTGGAGCGGGAGCATCTTCCAGCTGGGAGAGGTCCTGGCTGTCACCCGGTGGGGGAGCAGGCGGGGGAGCTTCCCCGGTGCAGAGGATTGCCACCGTGGTCGCCTCTCCCAGTTCCCGATGGTCCCAGCTCTCAGCTGCTGGTGGTGGCCGGTCAGCAACTCCGCAGACTTCCAGCGCCTGCTGGGCCCCACGGAGAGGAGGGGGTGCTTGGTCCGTGGCCTCTGCGCCTCTGATCATAGCAAGGCAGGCGAGGTGAGACGCGAGAAGAGCTTGACTGGTTTGGGTGCAACGAAGGACTGGAAGGGACAGGAGTCCCCTGCGGTGAAGATGAGCACCCTCCGTGAAGATGAGCACCCTCCCAGGAGGGAAGGCCCGTCAGAGAGGACGCGGCGGATGGGATTTTGGGTTCCAGTGGGGAGCGGTGCCTGCGGGGACTGGTCCCTCCTGCCGCGTGTGGGCTGGCCCGGCAGACTGGACACGCCTGGGTTTGGATCTTCCCTTCTGTTCACGGAGATACTTTGGCTTCTGCTCCTTCCATTCATGCCCCAGTTTGTTTGCAGCGCCTTTCAGCTCGAGGTCTGCCCACAACGGTTACGAGCCTCCCCTGCGTCCGTCAGTTCAGTTATTAGCAAAGCCACCGGCTGCTCGCAGGCCCAGCAGAGGAGCCTTTGAGGTCCCTCGGTGTCCTCCAGTTCTGGCATTAGGAAATGGGGTCAGGAAAGCCACCTCCCGAGGGCACCCACCGAGGGTTGAGTGATTTTGCCTGTATGGAAACATCCCAGGCTGAAAGCCTCGCTGGAGCCGAGGTCTTGCCTGTGTTGCCCCCCCTCGCTCGGGAGGTTGCTCTCCTCTGAAGGAGGAGGTGAGACCAGCATGATGGAGCAGCTCTGGATGGATCTGTGTTGGGCTGCTCCTCATCTCGGTGTGTCGTGGTTTAACCCGGCTGGCAGCTCAGCACCACGCAGCCACTCGCTCACTCCCCCCTCCCTCAGTGGGATGGGGGAGAGAATTGGGAAGGAGAAAAAAGGTTAGAGCCAAGGGCTGAGATGGAGACAGTTTAATAAGAGAAAATAATAATAATAGTCATAATGAGAATGGTAAGAGAATATACAGAATATACAAAGCAAGTGCTGCACAGTGCAATTGCTCACCACCCGCCGACCGATGCCCAGCCCGTCCCGAGCCGCGATCACTCTCCCCGCAACCCACCGACCAACTGACCCCCCGAGCATGACATTCCATGGTCTGGAATAGCTCTTGGGTCAGTTGGGGTCAGCTCTCCTGGCTGTGCCCCCTCCCAGCTTGTTATGCCCCTGCCCGAGCAGGAGAAGCTCAAAAAGTCCTTGAGTAGTCTGAGCACTACTGAGCAACAACTAAAACCATCAGTGTGTTATCAACATTCTTCTGGTACTAAATCCCAAACACAGCACTATGCCAGCTACTAGGAAGAAAATTAACTCTATCCCAGCCGTAACCAGGACACAGTGCTACCAACTGATGAGAAAGCACCGAAGAAATCAGCTCTAGCGTCAGTACCCAGGCTTTTCTTTCTGCTTTCAACCTGACAAGTCAAGGCTGTCGCCCCAAAGTCTGGTGCCTAGCCCTTTGGACAGGGCTCTCCCATTTCGGGTGAAGGTGTTGGGAGGGAGCTGCTGCCCTGCCCTGTCTCCGCTGGGTTGGGAGGTGCCTCCAGCCCGGCCGTCTCCTCCAGCTGCACGTGGGACGTGGGACACCGTGTCTGTGCCGAGGGCGGACGCAGACTCCCCTTTGTCTCCACAGTGTCTGAAGAGATGGACAGAAGCACTTTGACCCCCACCACCACCATCAAACCTTCAGACAAGATGACCATCAACCACTACGCCATTTGCCGGAGGTGAGCCTCAGCGGGGCCGCGGATGAGGACGGGGGGGGCGCAGGGCCAGGAGAGTGATGATAGGACGAGGGGGAATGGTTTGAAGTTGCGCCAGGGCATGCCGCAGAGCATCCAGGACAACACGATCCAGCGGATCTCCCGCTGCTACCGCCAGAACCGCTTCCCCGTGGTGTGCTGGCGAAACTCCCGCACCAAGGCCGTGCTGCTGCGCTCGGGGGGGCTGCACGGCAAGGGCGTCATGGGCCTCTTCAAGTCCCAGAATGCCCCCACCGCAGGTGCCCGTCCCCTCCGCCCCTGGGCAGCGCCCGTGCTGGGCGTGGGCTGCAGACCCCTCCTCGGGTCTCGCCCCCGGCGGCGGAGCGGTGACGCTTGTGGCTCTGCTCCCAGGCCCCTCACAGACGGACTCCACCAGTTTGGAGCAGGAGAAGTACCTGCAGGCCGTGATCAACTCCATGCCACACTACGCCGACGCCAGCGGGCGCAACACGCT